GAAGTGCGGAGGGAGGGGAAAAATGAGGAGCTGATGCCAGGGGCTTAAGTGGAGAGCAAATGTTTTGAGAATGATAACGGCAATGAATGTACAAATGTGCTTTACATGACTGATGCATGTATGGAATGTGATGAGTTGTATGAGCCCCTAATAAAATGATTTTAAAAACCCTACCCAAGTCTCTGATGCCGCCACGGAGTAAGCTTCTTTGGGGACTGGTTTGAGTCTTTGGATTCCATCTCTGCTTCTGATTTTAAAGGATCGTCCTTTTTATTACACTGAAATGGCAATAATTTAAACACACATTAGAAAGCAAGTCTAAAATCAAAAGAGTTTTATTTGAAAGCTGAGGGTGGAATACCTTCTTTTCAGGGGATACGGTTTCAAGATTTCGGTGCTCTTTCAAATCATGTCTGAACTTTGGCTCTTTCGTTGGAGATAAGCCCTTGAAATTCCTTTTGTACTCGGTTTCATGGATGATTGAGTTACCTTTGAATTGTGGGACACATTTGCTTTTATTGTTGAAAACCTTAAAACAAGAAGTACTTGAGTTTAGTATTTGTGTTGTTGACAAACATACAGAATTTAGATTTTTTCAAAAAATCTCTACTAAATTGAAATACAGGATACAAAGACAAGCAAAATGTTATGATTGTAATTTCTTTATGTCAAACATCCAAAGGTCAAGTTTCTATGCTCATTTTTAAAATAATCGTTATTGTTATAATGCCTAAGCTGACAGAAATAATGAAAGATACTTGTGCTTGATCTTTTTTACCCCAAATTCTCCATTCCTCCCTCTACCCATTTGATAATGGGATCATTAAAACAAGCATCTTTTAAGAACAGGAGCATGGACGTGAAGGAAGGCCCGTGCATTAGTAATCAGGAAACTGCTGTTAACATTGCCAGGAGGGGGGCAGCTTTGCTGTCAATGCAAAACAAAGATTTTGGTTTTGTTTTTTGTCTCCCTGACAAGATTTTGTTTTTTCCTGCAACAATGGAAAATTCTTAGCAGCTTAGATATCTGATATAACTTAATGTATTTGATTTTTCTTATGTACTTGCCCCCCCCCCCAGTTTTAAGGCAAGGGGGAAAACATAATTTCTAGGTTTCTATTTTTAAATATTTCCTTTCAGACTTAGTATTTCACAATGTCCGAGACCACTGTTTACAAGGACAGCAAATGGAAACGACAGGGAGATCGAATACGCTTTGTCACTGCTTGATCATGCTGCGCAGCTCCTCGTCTTTAGAGGTCAAATCCAGATTATCTATCCTTCTGTGGGACACTGTCACCTCAAAGATCGCTCTGGCTCTCTTACACATTAATATACGGCATCTTTCAAGAGCGCAGGTGGCTTGATAAAACAGCACGGCACAATTATTTGAATGGTTCCCCCGTCAACAAGCACTCAAAGTTTCTCTCCCGGAGCTCTTCAAGGCTGAAAATGCTGTGCTCTGAACAACAAAGAGTATTTGCTTCTAAAGAAATTCTCTGAAACTCAATATCAAAGTAAGAAAACTACTGGTGAAGATGTTAAAAATGATTCATTTTATAGTGCACTTTCCAGTCCTATAAAAATAACAATTCTATACAATGCCTTTACCGACATAGGTAAACGTTGTCATTGGGGCTCTGATGTGAATCGACCCTGGCAGAAAGGTCAAATACACGACAAAAACTACATAAACACAATTTTCAGGTTGTGAGCAGTTTTTCAGGTCTGCAGGAACATCTGAGAGCAAGGCAAAGAAGTGCTGATCCAACTCACTACGTTGACGGCACCCTGTGTTCCTGCATGTTAGAGAGTCTTCAAAGTTATTCATTTAGAACACTGAGTAACAAGCCCAAAGCTGCCATCATTTATAAGATCGTATTTATTATTCCCTTAGTGCAGCACAGCTAGCTGGTCTTCCTGTCTGGCTGAATCTAACTATCCTTTCTATGCTTATGGGCATATATAACATATGCAAGTAAAAGAAAATGAATGTGAGAGTGTGTGAGGGTACATGTGTATTTACAAAGGAAAACACAGAGGCCAGGTAAAAGAAAAGACAAAAGGGGCCTCTGGGGATGTTCTCAGGGGGAGCCTTTCCTTCCTGAGCCTGGTCGTACATTTAGGAACACAAACCCAGGGAAGAGCCCAAGGATTATATATGAGAGGGGAGGATAGTACTAGAAGAACAGGGTATACGTTCATGATAGTCACATGATGTGACTGTGCAAATTAATATTACATTCAGTTACCAGGGTAGTTTCTGCACTGTTATCTTGTATGACTTAAGCATACTTACAGTTAGTAAAAAATATATATCCAAAGCATTTATGCGTTCCTTAGAAGATAAAAAGCATGCAACATACCAGTCAACTAGACATAACATTTTAGAAATAAGTCAATTCATAAATTTGTAAAAATTGAAGAAATCTTACAGCATGCAACAACTTACCATGCCCCCAAGTTTTCATTGCCCTGTCTCACATTTAGCTTATGTGATGGATCTGGCAACAACGATCCTCAGTCGCCTAGGACAGTATAATATTACTCCTATAAATCAAACGTACTCGAAAAATGTTCAGAAGACGCAAATGCTTACACTTTCCTAGAACCTACCACTAGGTCTACTTCAATATTTAATTCCTTTCTGTTCCTAGCTCTATGTTAATCCATACCACAATACCACATGAGGAGACTCAAAAAAAAAAAAAAAAGGACAACATCCATTCAGCTACCTGATTGGCCGCAAAAACTGGTACAGTCTCTTTAGGAGTCTTCCACACAAACTGCCTTTGATATTCAGAGTTTCTCAAGGTGGGATGTGAAGGAGCAGAAGCCAACCCAACTTTCTTGCGGAGAAGCCTATCCAACTGTTGAGGAAGGAATAAAAACAAATCCCCACTCAAAGGCTTTAATTTCAACTGTTTTCAACTTGCAAATACTCTCCTCCCCTTTAACACTCTCAAACTATCTAAAATTCCTTTCTTAATACTGTCAAAGAATCAGGATTTATTCCAGTCCCATGCTCTGTTATTCATCATTAAAACGACTAGTGAGAAACAATAGCCTTACCCAGGTATCACTCTGGTGGACACCCCTTCCCTTGCCCACTGGGCTCACACATCACCCCGGGCCCCTCGGCTTCTTCTCCAGCACTCCTAAATGCTGCCCTGGTTCCGGCCAGCGGTGGCAGGGATTGGGGAAGGAGCAGTGGAAGGGATAAAGAAATGGGCGGGCAGTGAGTTCCCTGCACGGGACCCAAGAGTCTCTGTTTATGTGCTTGCAGGAGCCTTCGACGGGCCAGTTGTGACATAAGAGAGGAGGACTACAAGCTCTCTGAGACTGGCCAGCATGCTTCCCTTTTGCCTCTTATCAGTTAAGATTCTGTTTGTTTTCCGGTGCACGATAAGAAATTGAAACGGGGCTAGGTAGAAATCAGTTCACCACCCCTGACAGAAGTAATGGCCTACTACCCACCCCCCCACCCTCCTTCGCTGCCACAACTCGATCGCTCCCTTAGGACTTAGTTGCTGACAGATGATAAATAAAACCGAGAGGCAGGCTGCCCACCAAATGGAAGGCTATCCTAATTAACCCAGTACAAAACAGTGAGTTCTATTACCAATCGAACTAATTTACATGAACTAAAGCCAACAATCTGTTTATCAACTCTTCTACAGATACGAGAAATGTTGAAGCACAAAGCTGATACCAAAATGAGGATGAAACCTGCCAAACGACGACAGCGATTTTAGGGTATGTGCCTACCCCATCATCCACTTTTTCGGGAAGAAGCTCGGTAGAGGGCTTCACGTCCACGTTTTCATTAACTGGTGCGTAGCATGCTATCCCATCCTCCCTGTGTTCCACAAGCTTTGCAGCCCCTTCGGCTCTGGAGTCCACAGAAGGGGCTCTGGTTCTCTTGGGAACTCTGGCACCGTGCGGGGCCAGGAGAACCTTTTCTTGGTTAGCATCTTCTTTTTGTTCTGCAGCTTGTGATACCGAGGCTGCATATTCAGGTGACACGACCCCATTGCTCTCTGAGCTAGATCCCTTCCACTCAAGAGATTTTGAAATCTGTGGATCGTGGTAAGGCACTCTTCTTTTTGAAATAAAACTTGGCTCTTTTGTGATTCCTGTAAGACAGCGTATATAAAAATAGACATAACCAAAGCACAACACTGCGATCTTTAATAATAACACCCATAAGACCGAGAGACTGAACTTTTGGTTGATCTACATTAAAACATCCTTCAGGTTACAGGATGAAATATACTTTCTCGACATCATGTCTTCAATTTCACCTTGAAGAAGTATTAAAAGTTTGACCATCGCAAAAGTTTTAAATTGGGGTCACAATGTTCGAGTTATCCAAACACATAAGCACTAGAATCACGTGATGGGCCTGGCCAGCCAAGCACATGCTGCCTTAGTTTCTAATTACTTTCCTGTGCTACTTAATCAAACAATGGGCCTTGGTACTGTCAAAATGTGGAACTTCAAACTGGGTGCTGCATTCACACAAAGCTGCTCTTATGCAGGGCAGACCAAGATGAGAAGGGATGAGATGTCATTATGCGGGATCTCAGTTCTACATTAGACTTGATTTCCTGAGAACTAAAAAGAATGAGTCCTTTTAAGAAACCCAGAGCTGAGATACAATTTCTCTATGTTTCTGTCTGGCAAGCAAATGTCCAAAAAAACTTAATACTCTATCCAAATCAAAGGAGCCCCGTGAAATGACAGGACCTGAGAGACTGCCCTAGTTTGGGACTGCTCTTTAAAGAGAAGACGGTGGAGGTGGGGACGCAGACCCACCAATTACGACTGGAAAGGAAGCTGATGACAGTGGGCAGAGAGTATAGCCAGGAAGAGCCCAGAGCCCCTCAGCCTCTGTCACAAAGGCTTCGCCCACCAAATCCAAGGCTCCAGTCGGGCTCCCTCGGGTCAGTAGGCTTCAAACTGGGTGCTGCATACACACGCCTGGCGGTGCACAAGTGTGTTCCTGCGGGAGAGGGGCAACCGACGGAAGTAATTATCCTGGCCCTAGCTTCCTTTTTATTTATTTTCTAACTCTACTCTGCCTGAGAAGGAGCCTGGTGGTGCCATGGGTGATGCAGTTGATTTGCTGACTGCAAGGTCAGCCGTTCAGAACCAGTACCTGGCTCCACGGGAGAAAGAGGTGGCTTTCTACTCCAGTCGAGTTACAATCTCAGAAACGCAGAGGGGCAGTTCTACCCTGTCCTGTAGGACATCTATCACCTGAGTCTAGAATAACTCGATAGCACAAAGTCCGATAGTTTTATCTGCCTCAGAGCTCCATCTGCCACCTGCAATTTCATTGTCCACAGCCCTCTTAATACTACCCTTTTCCCTGATAGCACAAGAGAAAGGAGCACCTCTCAACCAGCCGGAAGCTGGCGGTGGTACATCATTCAAAGCATTAGACAAGAAACCTTGACGTTTGTGAGCAGGAGGAACAAGCAAAGGGAAAATTCAGGAACGTTTCACTCCTGAGGAAAGATGTATGGAAGCGATGCAGAAAGCAGAACTAGCTGGGGCCAAAGCCTTCCTTCACCAGCTTTACTCCATCTCCACCCACCAGCCCCAGAATTAAATTCAGCCCTGAGCCGGTGCTCATGCTGCATTCCTAGTAACACATTTATTTGAATTCACAAAACTAAAGTTTGATATTTTTCTCTCACAACAATTAAGTTTAATTTGGCGGGTTAGTTTGTCGATGAGAGCTGACTTTGTCAATTATATGAACACTTTGCACGTGTTGAAAGAACTAAAATTGGTTCGTTCTAAAGTGTTAACAGAATATGCAGCAAACGATATTTTAAAAAACTATTCATTAAACGTATGATATAAAAAATTAACTATCTACTGAAAAAGATGTGAGGGCCATCCCGGTCTGCTTGCCCTGCCCTCGAGACAGACCCCGTCCGGTGGCACAGTGGTTCCACGTTGAACTGCCATCTTCAAGGTCACCAGCCACTCTTGGGAGAAAAGAAGAGGTACAGTCCCAGAAACTCACAGGGGCAGTTCTGCACTGGCCTACTGGGTCGCTAGGAGTCAGTATCGACTCCACAGCAGTGGGCTGAGCGAGACTGAGCTCCGCTTCCTGCTGAGACCACACCAGGGAACCCGGAGCTCTCCCAGGAACACAGCCTGCTCTCCGCTCCTGCTGCTCCAGGGACAGAAGCTCGGGGGCGAGGCTCTCCATCTGTGGCTCTCCTCCTGCAAACTCTAGATTATGGCTCTCCATCTGTGGCTCTCCTCCTGCAAACTCTAGATTATGGCTCTCCATCTGTGGCTCTCCTCCTGCAAACTCTAGATTATGGCTCTCCGTCTGTGGCTCTCCTCCTGCAAACTCTAGATTATGGCTCTCCGTCTGTGGCTCTCCTTCTGCAAACTCTAGATTATGGCTCTCCATCTGTGGCTCTCCTCCTGCAAACTCT